TTTTGTCCTCCTCTTCCTACCCCACTTACTCAGTTCCATAAGGTCCCTCCTGTCCAGTCCAATCCCATCTCTGGGTCTCAGCCCCATCGCAAGGCCTCTGGCAGGCCCGGCAGAGGCCCCACCTTCTCTCTAGGGCCTTTATGTCCAGCTCCTAAGAACTCACTGAGTGAAGCTGGGAAGGAAGAATTGGAGTTGGGCTAGGCCACTTACCCATCTGTGTCGTCTCATCTTGCATTCTTGTTGGACATGAACTCCCGAGGCAGGACCATGGGGGCCCTTCCTTTGTCTTCCCAGACACTGTTAGGTGTGGACTGAGGCTTGGAGGAGCTGTTCTAGGAGGGTTTGGAGGCACCTCTTACCAAGAGCCTGCAGTATCAAAGAGCCCAATTCCAGCTGTTGCTCTAACTTAGCCGTCGCGCTAGTTCCATTGTGTAAGAATGGGCTGTGAGGGATGTCTGTTGGGGGCTTGTAGGAAATGATTCCTCACTCTCACGACAGGGGAACAGGAAGATAGGTCCTGTGCCTTCCTCTGGCATAGCCATACCTGGATGGGGTGCCAGGAATTTCCATAGCGTCTGGGCACGACCCTGAGACATGGAAGGGAAGATCAAAAGCATCACATAAACAGGGGGCAGGAGCCCTGGTGAACCTTCTTAGAGTAAGAGACAATCAATTTCTCTCTCTGCTTGGAGGCGGGATGCCATGTTATTTACAGCTATAAGGCAGTCTGCCGGGTAGGCCGAGCGTTGGGGTGGTGTCTAGGGAAACCCCTACTGCTGCCACTGAACTGGGACTCCTTGATACCAAAGGTTTCCCCTCTCTCCCTCCCTCCTCCTTTGCAGAAGGAGAGAAGAGATCTGATCTGTGTCAAAGACCACCCCTGAGTCTTAACGGGAATGGCCAACCTGCCTCATCAGGCCATTCTGAATATTCTCTAGGATAACATACTTACCGAAGGCTCATTTGGTGGTCCTTTCCTTCTCCTTTCCCCTGCTGTCTTACCTGCAAAGACAAAGGTCTTCACTTGTCTTCCATGCTGCTTGCTAAAGGTGGTCATTAGACTGGAAAGGGGAACTGAGGGCTCTAGTGGAAGAATCCTGGTGTTTGTGCTTGAGCCCAAACCAATCAGATCCAGGTATTTTCAATAGGGACAGGGCATTGCAGAACCCCAACTTGCCCTGAGCACTGTATTTTATAACTTAATACCACTGGGCAGTGGGCTGCATTTAACAAAGGACCTGAGAACACAAGAGTTGCTCCTTGTGCTGCATGACCTTGATTGGTCCCAAGGAGCCCATACCCTGCTGGTCTCATCAGCCTATGCCATACCCTAGCAGTTGCCCTTGAGGATACTGGCAACCAAAGACCTGGAGGAGAGCATGCCAAGCAGGAGAAAGGGCAGAACCTGGCCTCTTCTGGCCAGTGCTCTTGGACTTTCGAGTGTTAAGTAAAACTCAGTGTTAACCAGAGCTCCAAGGAGTCAGCTAAATCCTGAGTCCCTGCAAACCAGAGCCAATGGATGAAGTATGGCAGCGGAGCGCCAAGTTTCACTATGAATTGGCAGGTAGAAACAGGCTTGAAATGCAGCCAGAAGGGTGTGGGTGAGCTGCAAGGAGAACTCCTGAAAAAGTGGCTGGGCCATGGGTAGAAATAGGCAAGGAGTGATATTTACACCCTTTTCTGTTTTAGACCCAGGTGTCTTCAAAGATAGGAGAGTTGCTCAGGAGACAGGTGTGGAGTTTATGTGCTGTAAGTTAGAGACCAGGGCCGAGTGCCCATCCACCCATCTCCACACACGGGCTCAGTCTCAGTCCTGCAACACAAGGATTGAAACATTGCACGGCCTGTCTCTGGTTTGCCAGAACTTTAGGAAAATCCAAATTCAAAGTAATGACTTGGGTTGAGGGGGAGGTTAAATGTCTTCAAACAAATAACATATTTTCCCACTAGTTCCCCCTTTGTGGGATTACTCACTAACACTGTGTTGTCTCCAACCTTGTTGAAAACTCATTCATCCAGTTTCATGAACACACAGAGAGGAGGACGAAGTGGGCCATAATTCCAGGTACATGACTAAATCTCAGACCACGAAGACTGAGGAGAGGTTGGTGGTGAACTCTCTAATGAGAGCTGGACCCTGGGAAGGAGAGAGGAGGCCAGGACACAGTTGGGGGAAGTGAGATGATCAGAGGAGAGAGGAGCAGACAGTGTCCACCTCAGCTTCATAGTTGGGTTCTGTTCTTGTGACCAGTTGAGTCATCTTGGGCTGGATTTCAGGAGAGCCACATATTTCCTGCCTTTGGGAAACCCTAGACTGATGAGGAAGTCGAAGTCCCTGTGTGCAAGGAGCTGCCAGGTGATCTCTGGATGTGGAAAGCTTCATGCTCAGTGGGAAGCTTCATGCTCATTGGCTCAGATAGAAAGCAGAGGCTAGTCTTAATACTTAGCACAACTAAGAATCTTTAAACCTGATTCTGAATACTTATGGAAGGACAAAGGGAAAAAAAGGAAACCCTTTCCCCAGGGAACTGGGACAATAGGGACTTGAATTCCTAGACCCTCATCCCCAAACCCTAGCTTCCTGGAAATGAATGGGCTACTATTTTTTTTTTTTTTTTGAGAAGGGGGCACAGATGTCCCACTACTCCCACTGTCTAGCACCACAAAAAAATCTGTCAATTTTACAGTCTTCTTTTGCTAGAAGGCATAACTTCCTAGCCCCCTGATGTCCTTGGCTTTCTCCTAAGATATCCTGGTTATGAACTCTTTTAAGATGATGTCTTTGTTTGGGTTCCCTAGAGAGCAGAGCCTGAGGCAAGGCTTAAGTGCTACTGTTTTATTTGGAAGGTGCAAATTCAGCAGCAAGAGTGAGGCAAAATTGAAGTGACGCATAACGACTGGGAACCCATGCAAGACGACAGTTATCACACTGACCCTTGCTTCCTGATGAGTTACAAAGAGACATAGCTCATCAAGATGAAAGTGCATCAACCAGGCAGGACATCTTTGGACAGACTGTACAGAAAATACGTGTCTTATAACAATTCATTAGCAGGGAAAAGCAGACCGTTATCTGAAGTTCTCGCCCATCGTCTCTCTGCCAAAATCCATTTCATAGGGAGTTGTCTAACCTGAGCTTCCTGCCACTCAGATCCTTCAGTAACTGCTTATGAATTCAGAGCCCAGACTCTGCACACTGACGTTTCTTCTAAGACTGAAAGTGCAGCAGGAGCCTGAAACTGGCAGGGCAACTGGTCAACCTCAGATGGCAGAACTGTGCAAGCATGTGTGGAGTCAGTGGACTATTTCCCAGGTGGTGCTACCCACCTGCCAGTGCAGGAGACATAAAAGACTCGGGTTTGACCCCTGGGTTGGGAAGATCCCCAGGCAGAGGGCATGACAACTCACTCCAGTGTTCTTGCCTGGAGAATCCTAAAGAGAGAGGAGCCTGGCAGGCTACAGTCCACAGGGTCACCAAGAGTCGGACACAACTGAAGTGACTTAGCAGGCATGCACAAGCACAATGGAGAATAAGTGGCTGAGGGTCTGATGGAATCAGAAGTTTCATAAGGCATGTCCAGCAGAAATCAAGAGAGTCCCTGGAAAAGGAGGATAAAAGGGGTCCACAAGGACCATCAGACCAGTTTACAGTATGGTAAACTGTAAAATGGCTATAAATTCTTCCCTTCCTTGAGTTCATGACCTTGCAAAATGATTTTGTAGATTCTCCCATCAGGAGGTGGTCTCTTTCTCCATCTCTAGAGTCTGTGCCAACCTTGTGAGTTACTTTAGACAATGGGATATTAGCAAACATGATACATGTAGTGGCTTGGAAGCCACGCTTGTGCATTGGGGCTTGCCTTTTTGCTAAACCTAGAACCCTGAGACCACTGTGTGTATGAGCCTGAGCCAGCCCATTGGAGAATGAAAGGACACATGAGTGAGAGCTAAGGGGTCCCATCAGATGTGAGTGAGATGTCATCTAGTTGCTACCTGACCTATAAGCTGATTATGGACACGTAAGGAAGCCTAGTGGCTTCCATCCCACACTGGAAGGGCTGCCCAACCAACGCGTGACTCACACACTAAGTAATTAAATATTTGTTGTTTCAAACCACTTGTTTTGGAGTTGCTGGTTATACCGCAAAAGCCAACTAATTCAACCTGAATAACCCATTGTGTGTTAAACTCACAGGTTGTGTTTAGTATAGATTTTTAGAATAGAGATGAATTTTGTAGAATCTATTACAGAGAAAATCATCTGAATAAAGAAGATAAATGAGGACGAGGACAGTGATGCTTGGTGGTGATAATGGATGTTGATACTAGTAATGGTATTGATGTTTGTGGGGGTGATAATAGTGGTGATGGAGGTGATGGCAGTGGGTAATGATGTTTATGAAGCTAAGAGTGATGAGATGCTGGTGATGCTTGATGATAGCAGTGGTGACGGTCTGTGAAGGAGATGGTGAGTGTGTAATTGTTGTGGTGTTATGCTAAAACTGATGAGGATGATAATGTAGAAGTTGATGAGGATGTTTGTGAAAGTGGTGCAGCAATGACTGTGATGGACATGTTAATAATAGCAGTAATGTTAAGTGGGATGATTGTGCTGGTGGTGGAGGTGGTAATGGGTGTTGGTGATGGTGATAATAATCATGGTGAAAATAATAGAGAAGGTGATAACGATCAGGGTGATGATGAGAGTGGCAATGTTCATCGGATGGTGGTAATGATGTAATGGTCATCATGACTATATTCATGGTGGTGATGATCACAGTGTTGAGGATGATGGTTTTGATGGCAGTAAATTTATGTTGCTAGCTAAGATATGTCCAGATCTCTATGGTGAGTAGGTCTCTTGGCCTGGATTCCTCTTGCCTGTTATAACTCAACACCAAAACCTAGCTCTCAAGGGAAAAGGGATTTTCTGAGCGAGTTATTCCCAGAGCTAGGAAGATTAGAACCCCTGGCTTCAGTTCCTTTCTTGACAAGAACTGATGAACTTGAACCAGGATAAAGTGGAAGAAGAATGCGAGGACTCTGCTGTTAGCACCGGCTGCCTCTGTAAAGGCAGAATGGGAGAAAAGGCCCAGGAAAGGCTGGGCTGCCGGTGGAGGGAAGAGGAGAAGGCAGTTATCACACCACCTCAGGCCAGAAGCCATAGATCTGGGTCTCCAGGACCTCCAGGAACATGCTCCTTCAGTCCTGGAGAGAGCCAGCAGCCAGGGAGCGGGACACAGACAGGGAGATGTCCACAGCCTCATTTGGCCAGACTGATTACCTGTAGCAATGCATGGGAAAGGCCTCCAGGGGTCAAAGGCTCACTTTTGTTGGGGCTTGGAGTGCTTATCATCTGCCACCTGAGTTGGGAGGAGCCCGTGGTGCCTTTGCTGCGTCCCAGACACCCTGGGAACATGAGCTGAGGACTACACACTGTGGAGGATGGGGAGGCAGCGAATAAGATGCTGATGACAGGCTCCTGGCTTGCGGGGCAGTGTGAACCTCGGGGCCATGCAGAAGTCAGAGGTGGGGAGGACAGAGAGGGCCAGAGTTGTCCCAGCTGCAGCGCAGCTGCTCACTGACCGGTCAGCCAGACCTTGCCGAGGGCTGGGAATGCTGTGCTGGTTTTATCAGCCAGCGTGGGCTCTCCTGGTGGTCAGCTGGATGTGGTCCTGGCTTCTCTACCACCTCCCAGAGCCCTGCTCTCAGAATTCATACCTATGTTTGTTTTCCCCCTCGCTGAATGGAGACCACCCTTTACCCGTGCCACCTGCCGTCACTAATCACAGAAGCATAGCTGGGAGCTCAGTGGAGTTTCATGCTGAGAAGGGTGATGATGAGAGCGTACAGCAGAACACTGACTTCACCTGAAGGCCAGGTAAGATGTCCCTTTCTGAAGAAGTGCCACTTACAGTGAAATGTGAGGGTGAGGACAAGTGTGGTGGGCTGGGAAGGGCATGTGTGTAAGTTGTGAGGGAGGCGTGTACAAGCTGACACATAGCTGGCCTCAAAGAAAGCCGCTGTGTCTGTAGCAAGCAAGAGGACACCCAAACTTGAGATGGGACGAGGGGGACATCGAGGTCCAGGTCACGCAGAAATTTGTAAACCCCGAAGGGTGCAATCTGAGTTGTGTTCTGGACACTCTCCCTGGCTTCTGAACAGAAGTGGATTGGGGGCAGGGGGTGGTGGGTGCTGCTTGATGTAGCTTCTTCAGTGAGCCATGGAGAGGCAGGTGCCCCCGGGATCCTCACTCAAAAGGGATTCTTGGAATTTACTCTCTGCTCTGCACACCACGCCCTGTGCCCCACTCAATCCTGGGATGGACCACCTACATCCTTGTTTAGACTTTATCTTGGCCTGGGATCCCTGGCTCTACTTCATAAATGATTTTTTTTAATGGGAAAAGAAGAAAGAAGACAGAAAGTGCCCAGCACTTTATATATTGCAGAGTCTTGATCAATATTTGGCAAATGCCTTCATTTGCCAGTGAGAGAAACATAAAGAGGAGCTGGTGAAAAACAGCAGTAGAGACACCCCATTTCTGTGCAGTTTAATCAAGTTCTGTGAAGGTTAGAGGGCAGAAATGTGAGGTCAATGTAAGGAAGGGAAGGAAGAGCCTAGACTTTGCAGAAGAGCTTGCATTTTAAAAAGAAAATTATTATTCAAGCAAATCCGTAAGAGGCACATTTTTTTTAGGCAGTTGGGAAAAGGGAAGGTAAAGAATTGAGGCAAGAAATGAGGTATTTTGGACTCTGGCCAACTCTGGCATCACCTTCTATAATGTTTCTGCCATGCAGGACCCATCAGAGACCCAGATATATCCAGAAGGACAGGCCATGACAGCACGTGGTGTTTCAGGAGCAACGTGGGCTCCAGGGATCAAATGAGTATGAAAGAAGAAGGGACACCCACACTTAAGAGAGACTCAGCATGCTGGTGGGGATCCAGGCGAGGGTCAAGAGAGCTCATGGAGACCTCAGGAGCACCAAGCATGAGCAGAGGCCTGAGAGAGGCGCACAGCTGGAGAAGGGATACTGCTTGAAGACACCCAGTGGTTAGGCTGGGGAATAACTGGGGACATGGTAAATAAATCACCCTCCAAACATTGACACTGTTAGGCTACCATCTTGGGCTTCTAGCTTCATATTTGGAGCCAGTGGGACACAGAGAAATGGACAAAGGATGAGAGTAAGCCTTGAAGGGCTCAGGGCCAGAGAGCTCTTCCTAATGGCAGAAGAGTATCTATGAAGCAGTGAACTGTGGGTGACCAGCCCCTCCCCACCCAAGGTGGGCTGTGAGGAGGGTCTCCAAAAGCCTCTAACGTCGGCTCCCTCAAGTGCCTCATGTCCCATTCTTGAGAGTTGGCTGGAGGGGCCTGGGGTCACTGTGAAGGGACAGATGAGGTCAAATGAGGACCAGAGTTAGAGACCTATCTGTGTCTAGGGCAGGACAGTCTGAGGCTAAGGAGACAGCCGGAGGGAGAGCCTCTCACTAGAGCATGGTCTCCACACTGGCTTACGGTCTGTGATGGGATGAAGGGAACAGTGCCGGCTTGATATCCCTGATATGGCAGGGATGGTATAGAGCTCCAGCTTCATTAGAAATTTTCTATGATCTCTCGGCCAGCAGGATACTTTGCAGGGACAAAAGAAAGGGATGGTAGGTTCATGGGGAGCCTCCTGGGTTAGTGAGGTCCTCAGGGCCCTGCCAGGAGGGAGAGGACGAGGCGACCTTGGAGGAGGTGAAAGGAGGGGTTGTGAAGCTTTGAGCCAAGATTCCTTCAGGCAACTTAGAGCCAGAAAGCTTGAGAGGTGGTGGGAAGGCAGGGTGGAGTGGGAGGGAAGAAGCCGGGCTGTTCCCAGGAGCTCAGACCACCTTGGTGTCCTCCCTGTCCCTCCCACTAGAGTCTTGCCTTGAATGTAGCAGAGGAACACAAGGTCCTGGGGTCTGGAGGCCCAGGAAGGAGAGATAGTGGCCTTCCTGTGGTCTGGGTGCTGGCAGTGGGAAGTGGCCTTGAGTCTGGACCCCTGGGAAGCCAGCAGGTGGAAGAAGATGCTAAGAACATGGAAGAGAGGCAGGGGCGTGGAGCTGGGGATGCATATGTGAGGGGGGATGAAGAAACTTGCTTTGTTGATGATCCAACAGGTTTGGGGATCTGGGTCCAGCCAGGACTCCCACCCTAGACAACCTCCAAGACAGGGGTGAATTCTGAGCACTTACACCCGAGGCTGGGAGGATGGACCCACCAGATGGGACCTGGTGAGCTCCATATGCATGCTGAGCCGGCAACCTGATGGATTAGGGGCTGTCCTGGGGCTGCAGTGACACTGAGCATCCGGGAAGAAAGGAGAAGGCTGCAAGAGTCCTCCAGGCAATGCAGAGCTATAGGACCTGGGCTGGCGGAGGGAAGTGGTCCTCTGTGGATGGACTGGTACATTTTGAGAGGTGGCAAGCAGTGGTGGGGCTTCCCTGACGGCCCAGATGTTAAAGAATATACCTGCAATTCAGGAGACCTGGGTTCAATCCCTGCGTAGGCATGGCAACCCACTCCAGGATTCTTGCCTGGAGAATTCCCATGGACAGAGGAGCCTGATGGGCTACAGTATATGGGGGTACAAAGAGTCAGACGTGATGGAGTGACTGAGCCCAGCACACAAACTGTGGTGAGGGGCAGGTGAGGTGAGATGCATGTGGCCACCCCAGAGTATCTTTCCTGATGGATTTCCCTTTAATCTGTGGGCTACATTTCCCCACCAATTCTTTTATAGTAGGTTCAGGCCTCTGCACATTCAACAAACACTGGTGTCTCCATTGTGCTATGTTCTAGGAGCTTTGGATTCATCACTGAGCAGGTGACCCAAGGTCCCTGCCCACAGAGTGTTTACACCCTAGTGAGAGCCCAGCTAACCAGGAGGTGGGAGGTGTCGGGGTCTGGGAGCAGTGCTAGGGCACTGGCTCTGGGGCTGGGGATGCAGAGGGAACTTGAGCCTCTGGGAGGAGAAGCAAAAGCAAGCCCCAGGTCTGGGCTTCCAAATGGTGCTAAGAGTATCTCAGGATGGAGGTTCAGAAACGGGGGAAGGGTGGAGGTGGCTCCTGGGTCTCAGGTACAAGGTAGAACCTATTTATCAGAATCCAGGCCTGAGGTCAGGGCTGCCAGGGGATGGGGCTGCCTCTCCCCATGCTCGCCTTCCTCTGGCCTGCCTGAGGGGCCTGTGAGCCAGGCGGGACCCTGTCCTCCTGCTTGCACACAGAGACGCTGGGGCAGATGCTCTGACGGCTACAGTTCAGGCTGTGGATGGAGTCAGTATCTTCAGCAGAAAATTTCCAAAGAGATTGTTCAAGGGCAACTGTGATTCCAAGTTCAGCAACTCAACATTCAGTGTTATTACATAATATATGCCATCTTACTTGATTTTGTTTTTCACACTTCCTTCTAGAGAACATTGTTGAAAGTGTCTCAGAGATAATCTGTGCTTTAAACACTCATTACCAAAATTCAGAAAAAAATATAAGACTTGTTTTTGCCCAGGTGTTTGTGAATGTAAGTTAAAAATTATATTTTATTTAGATTCAAATATTTATAGATTTATACTATATCTATTTTGTCAGAATATATTGTGTGATATTTCATAAAATCAAATACATAAAATAAAGTTTTCAATACTATCTATACAAACCCCTAAACAAAAAGAAAATTCCCAAAGAGAGACCTCTCTTCTGGAATATTTTAAATGCGTTAGTTTGCCTCCTGGGTGCTCTGGCCACTCTGGTTTCTTGTTAACCCTCAGCTGTGAGTGAGGTGAGGTGAGGGGAGGTCAGGATATACCTCCATTTTTCAGAATGGGGATATTGAGTCCTGACCATTTGCAGTGATCCCAATGCTACAAGGGAGCTGTTGGGAGAACTGGACCTGGCTGGCATAGCCCAGCTTTCCCACATGGCTGGGAGCCAGAGCAGCTTGCATCTCAGACTCTGTCAGACACACAGGGAAAGGAGGAGCCCACGGGCTGCCCCGGCGGTCTCAGGGTCATGGTGGTGGCTTGGAGGAGGAGACACCACACCTTCCCCTCAACCCCTCCCCTGTTTCCAGGGATGTGGTAAGCTGAGAAGCAGCACTGCCTGCTGGCTCCTGCCCCAGGATGGAGAGGTGAGACTGGGACACGCCATCGATTCCTGGTTGGGGTTCTCAGAACAGCAGCAGTGTGGGGTCAGCCTCGGTACATCAGAGGCCTCCTGGGGAGCCAGAGGGCTGGACAACCTCAGTCTAACCTGGACTCTCATCCACTGGGTCTCACTTGGCCACTCACTCAGCCTGGGGCCGGTCCCCTCCCTGGCACTTTGTCTCCTCCCGGGGACCATTTTTCCTTTCTGTGTATCTATTTCTAATCTTATTCTTCTCTGTTAATGATCTCCATGCCAATCAGCGGCCAATCCCTGTGATTATTGCCACATCTCTGCCACAAAAACCGGCTTCTGGAGAATACGGGCTGGATCCTTTGTAGGCAAGCTGAGATACATGTCTTTCTGTACAGTGGGGCCCTCCCAGCCTTGGGGTACATCTCTCCCCGCGGGCTCTTTGCCCACCTCCAGCCCCGGGGACCAGACGGCCTTGGACCCCCCACGTCTGGCCCCTTGCCCTGCTCTGCGCCTCTGATCCTCGCCCGGCTGCCTGCCTCCCTCCCGCTGCAGGCAGCCTCCTGGCTGACTTCACTCCTTGTCACATTCCTGGCTGTGAAAGGGGCCTCTTCCAGGACCCTGGGGGGATGACATGAGTTTGTTTGTTTTCCTCCTGTCTCCACTTCAAGGGCTCCACTGGCAAAAACAACACCCTGATGACTTCCAGCTCTTCCCCTCCTTTGCCCCGAACATGG